GCGTCGGGGGCAGCCCCGCGGGGAAGGGGGCGAATGTGTGTTGGTGCTGGTGTGTGTGCTGGTGTGTGTGTTGGTGCTGGTGGAGCTCTGCCCGCAGCAGAGCCCCCGGGCCCAGCGGGGCGCCGGGCCGCTCGGCACTCTGGACCAGAAAGCGCGCGTTCAGCTCTTGCCTGAGCAGCTCGCGATCTACGAGAGAAAAAGAGAGAGACAGAGAGGCACGTCGGCCGCGGCTCCCGGCGGGGCGAGGCGGATAGTCACCTGGCACTCCCGGCTTCGGCAGGCCACGCCGTGGTGGCCGCTCGCTACGTGCGGGCCCCAGGGTGGAGGTAAGAGAGGTGCCTGTGACCAAGTACCAATCAGAATCCCCGCATGAGGCTGGCAATACATGATTGGCTGGCTGAATGAGATCAACAGGCTGGCATCTAAAGGCAAGAGAGAAGACCGTGAGCCCGGGACCGCGGCCCGCACGGAGCCTGCCCGGCCAGGCCACCGAGGCCAGCGTCCGGGCCCCCTCCCGGGGCACCGAGCTGCCCCCAGCCCCATTTGGGCTGACTCAGAAGCTTAGAATTTGGGGGGGGGCAACCCACGGAGAAAGCCTGAGTGACCTGACATTGGACTCTGAGGGGGCATCTGCCGGAACAAAGCAGGGAGGGGCGGGGAGCAATCGCACTGTCCACCTCAGAACCCCCTACTGGACAGTGCGGCCCAGCCCGAACCTCAGAGAACCCCAGCCCCCACACTAGGGATGAAGGATGGGAAGAGACACTGCAGGCCCGGGAGCCCTCCAGCCCCCCAGCCTCCCAGCCCCAGGGCCTGACCAGGCCTGGCAAGGGCTCAGGACCCACATGCGGGCGGCCTGCGGGACCCCGGAGTGCCGGGGTGCTGTGGTCTGCCAGCACGGGGTCGGGAGCAGAAGGGGCTGTGCCTCGGAGGCCGGCACCCCTCCCGCCTGCCCGGGAGTGCAGGGGACAGAGACCCGGACCAGACCCAGACCCACCTGCGGGGTGTCCTGGGATGACCAGGCTGTTGGCCGGCAGCGCCGGGGGCGGGGGCAGTGTCGCGGGGGCGGCGAACATGGCCGCCGCGTGGTGCTGGTGCTGGGCCTGCGAGCGCAGCGCCAAGTGTGAGGTAGAGAGGTGGGCGCCCGGCCCGAGCGGCGGCAGGGACGCGTGCTTGCCCAGCCCGAGGCTGGC